ACACGGGTTACACACAGTGCAATAAGGTCACATCAGGGCAGGTATGTCTGTGTTCAAGGACGTAGGTGAGTCTGGCCCCGCTCTGCCGATTGCTGAAGGAACTGGAAGGATGGCACTGGAAGGATGGCACTGGAAGGATGGCACTGGCCCCTCTCTGCAGCAGGGTCACTCCCAGCCTGCCCAGCACAGCAGAGGAGGGAAAGCTGGCAGTGGTTTTTGTGCAGGGTCCAGCTCCCAGAGGCTGTGCAGATTCTGTACCATTAAACAAAGCTAAGCTCATGAGCTATGCTTGTGTTGCTATTGTCTTTGCTGCTGATTTAGTTGTTAATACCTTGGCTGCTGCTGTGATGTCTGGTGTTTTTAGCACAGGAGCCAAGAAAACAGCATTAACTGCACAGACAGTGGCTGCCAGGCTGAGCAGCCCAGAGATGCTGGGAAGAGGAGTGGGGTCCCTCCCCATCAGGCTGGGACCCACACTGGCTCTTGGCCATGCAAACGCACGGTCCCCACCATGAGGACTGTGAGAAGTGCCAGCAGCAAGTGCTGGAGACAGCGGTCTGTTTTGTAGCCACACCTGCTGGCAATGGGTGCAGCCATGGGAGAGACGGGCTGCTTGAGAACACACAGCTGCTAAGGCAGGGGAAGAACACTGGCGGGTTGGGGATTTTTTATTGAATTGCTTTAAATTATTCACAGTATCAGCGGTTTCCTGTGACATCAAGCTTCTGGACATTGCTGGGTGGCTGTGAGCTGTGGCCTATCCAAGGTTCTGTTCCCAGCTACGCTCAAGCCACAGCTGGTCTGAAAGCCAAGGGTGCACAGTGAGATGCTGATAGGAGACTGACAGGGGGCTCGGCGCTGAGAAGGCTAGATCTGCACGGTTCCTTCCACTGAATTTCGAGAGAATAGGTGGCAAAACGGCAATGACTCAAGAGGGCGAAGTAAGAACAGAGGCCAAGGCTGCGTGAGCGCGGCTCTCCATTGGTGCCAAGAGCCGAGGAGGATCTCCGTCAGCCTCTGGGGGAAGCGGAGCAGCTGGACTGCAAACTTCATGCAGCCTGGCCGCAAGCACCACTGCCCTCTTTTGGGTGGAATCACATCCCTGCTGCTGGGTGAGGCTGTGGCACTGCAGATATGCCACCTCTGTGACCGGCACTCCTGGTCTGCCAGACTGGGGGACGGGACAGCTGCGCTGCCCTGGCTCCAGCCCTGGCCATGGCAGCTGGAGGTGCCACGTTCTGCTGTAAACAACACAACCCTGAGCTAAGCTGGAGGGCTCTGCTGCTGCCACAAGGTAACAGGGACAGGAATTGGGGCACAAGGTGACTTCCTGGCTTGGAGTGTCTGGTGACCTGTGATCGGCAGCAGTCAGGTAGTGAAGGAACCAGCAGCGTGCTTCTCTCAGAGAAGAGGGAGCATCCTATGAGAACCAGCTGCTGCCCCCAGCAGGCCTGCCTGTGCTTAGCTCACCTTCTGCAGCTATGAGATTTCATCCCTGCTTACAATCTGACAGAGTCCTTACCATGACCTACCCATAAAATTTGATGCGATGAGTGACATTTTTTATAAGACCAACTGTTTCATTATGAAACATTTGAGGTTGGAAAAAACAATCCCAAATAAATAAGAACATGCCACTATAATAAGGCCATCGGTGTGTTCTACATATCCTCCTTGTGGCAATTGTGGCTGAGTGCAAGAGGCAAGTACGCCTTGTGATCGTGAGAGACCAGCTGAAAACATGAGTCACACAGCCAGACCTTGTGACTTGGTGGAACTAAGAAGGTCTCCTTAAAGGCAATTTGTGGAAGAATTGGAGAGAAACACAATTTTTCAAGGTCAGCCAAAGGCTAATGAGAGTTCTTTCATAGCGTGATTGTGTTGCCTGAATTTCTGTATTTCAAAGCCAGTCTAACTACTTTACTGCTGAAGCATTGTAACTGAAGAGGCTGCAATAATGTTGACGAGTAATCCTGCCAGAACCTGAGATGGTATTCAACATAATACGAAACATTTTCTCCTTGCCTGGTCGCATATGGAACAAAGAGTTAAACAACCACACGGTTCCCCTGAGCACCACTCATCTTCCTTCCCAAAAGGCATGCGTACAGATGCTTTGTACGTCGAGTTGTCAACAGCTGAGGCTTCTGGCCAGATTCACATGTTCTCTACCTTTCCGCCTGTGAGCTGCAAGAGGCTCCTCTCCAGAGGAACGCTTTTTCATAACTTAATTAGATTGGCGCCATCCGTGCGGCTCCAGTTTCAGGTTGGCTTGGCTTTGCCCCGGCTCTCCAGCGCAGAGGATTACAGTAGCACTGAAACTGGTCCTGAACCAAACCTTTGGCAGCCACCTTGGGTTAAGGAGGCAATTTGTGAGGCTGCTGCTGCTAAATTAGAAATAAAGAAATAATCAGCTCGCAGCCCTTAATGAGAGGCCAGCAATGAGAGAAAAAATCCTTTTGCAGCTCTCATCTTTGCATATACGTAGGAATAGGTCGTATTTCTTTTCCGCATATATGAATCACTCTGGTCTACTAAAGCACTTCAATTAGGGCAGAGTGAACTCCAGTTGTGCTCTCGTTATGTGGACTTGCAACACGCTTATTCCAGAGTTGCTTTAATGGGCCAGGAATCCAATCGGTTTGACCAAGCTCTGCTCAAGAAGAGATTCCCAGTGAAATTTTCAGCTGTTTAACTGAGTCAGCTTTGAAATGGGTTGAGGCAGCATCGCTCAGACACAAAGCCCTTTGCCCTGCTTGATTGTATGCTACTAAACTGCAACTCCAAGAAAAGGAGATTTACAGGCAGAGACCAGAGGAAAAGAAAAAGCAAGGACAGCTCTGCAAGCTCACCAGTCTGAATGTCACTTCTTGCCTGCAGAGTGCAGCTGACTGTAGCTGTAGGCACCTGAGCTCCCTTGCCATCCTTGCCACACACAGCCCACAGCCTCCAGGCACAGTTCATGCCACTCATGGGTGCACCAAGGTGCCTGGGTTCACCTGTGCCGCCGGTAGCCAGAAAGCACCATGCTTGTGGCTGCTTCACCAGGAGCAGTGGTGGATGAGACAGACAATAAATGGCAACTGAATGGGAGCCAGGTGGAATAAATTAATAGGAACTTGGAAAACTTCTTCAAAGTAGGAAGCATTGGTGTTGGTTGGGATGGCAAAAAAATGACCACTCTTGGTGAAGAGCTAATTAAAAATATATACGTATCGTCACCTCATTTCTGAAAGCAAAACAAAATGGATACAAATCTACACGACAAATATTCTCACGTGAATATAAATAAACAGTTAGAGCAATTAGACCTCGCACTGCCCAGCCTGAGATATTTGCTGCAAAAACTCTTCCTGCTACAGTGCTTGCAGGGATGGTTTTCCCTCCATGCTGTGGGCACCAATTATTTCTGTGGCTCTACGATGTGAGCCATTTGTAAGCTGGAAGCTGTGGATTCCTGCAAGCTCCCTGCCCATAACACTCAGCAAATAGCTCATAGATTCAAGACTATGCTTTTTGGTGACCTGTTCAGGGCAGGTGCCCTGCTTGACATCTGAACAGTGTACATTACTGATGTCTCTGAGCAAACATCCATGGACATGCCTCTCACCAGCTCCTGAGTACTGACCTTAGGGGAAAAGCTGTGACATTGCTTGTCCTTGGGAATCAGGGAGGATGTTCCTGCTAGCTGAAGGCAGGTGAACCATGTACCTGGCACCCACCTGGTCTTTGTGAGGTCCCTCTGAAGTCCCTAGGGCAGAGAGAGATGGTATCTCCAGAGGGAACCTCAAAGCAGATGCTTCAACTGGATACACTGGATCCTCTTCCAAAGCGTTTATCTTTCACCAAGGGAGAGCTGGGCTGAGGGATCTGGCTGCCTGAAGCTGCTGCTCCAAATGCTTTCCTCGCCAAAGCTAGTGAAAGCATCCAGAAACAGAGCTGTCTGCGGCCTCAATAAGTAATTCATTCACTCTCATTCCCAGCACTTGGTGCCAGCTTGCTCATTTGACCTGGCTTCAGTTATTCTCCCTGAGCTGTTGTTACAGCCTTCTCTGCTGGACAGAGGAAGACAGAGGAGGGGCCATCTCCATCTCTCATGCTGAAATCCATGCTCTTCTGAATCCTCCCTGCAATGACAGGAACAGACTCATCTTGGAAAGTCATTCACTCAAATGCTGCTTTGCTCTTTATTGTGTGGCTTTGGGGCATGTTTTTGCACCCCTTGGGCAAGCATGGCTTGTTGAAGCCTCAACCAATGCTTCTGGCCTCCTGCAAGGCTATAGCACCCCACTTCTTCACCCTGCTCCTCCCATACCCCACTTCTGTATCCTCTGCTCCTAGCCTAGATCAGAGGGGCATTGCCCAGGGCTCTCCTCGTATTTGCTGCCCACATCAGGGTCCAATGGTTTCGAAGCAGAGCTCTCTGCAGGATGCACCCTTTGTCACAACTCTCAGGCTGTGCTGCTGAACTTAAAACAGTTGTCCTTTTCTGCTGATGGACCAGGGTGTAATCTGCCTTCTCATAGGAAATAAACTCCTTGCCACTCCTTTCTGACACAGAGTTAACGTTACCCATTCTGTGATTGCTGTCATTCTGTCATTGCTAGGACTGCTTTTCTGCTCTTAATGATTTTTTAAACTCTTTGTTCTTCAGATGTTCGCCTGTGCTGGATGATTCCACCATGGCCAGCAGCTTCCTTCAGTTATGCATTTCATGTCATCATTTTCCTTTATTTTTTCCTTCTTTGTTAGTGATTTATTTGACAATTTCAAATTGCTGCTGAATTTGGATGACTTTTAGTGTGAACTCCTATCCTGTTTGTGGAAGGAGTGGGGAGGGACACTGACCGTTCATTTCTCTTGTATTTTGTTTACACTTGCAAACTTATTGTTCATATTTGTTCTTTTTAGAGTTTTTGCCTGTAACCACTTGCAGTTTTCAGAAACTCTGAGAGATCTTGTTGCTATTCACTATCACCTGTTCTTCTCTATTCCTGTAGAGTGAAGCCAGAGGTTCATTTTGCATGCAAGCAACCACCCCCAGTGTAAGACTCAACCACAGCTATTGCCAGTCACAGTGAGGGACCCCGTGATGCCGTGCAACTGCTTCTTTGCGAAGCGAGTTTTGCCTGTTAGTTCTGGAAAATCTAGGCTATGCTCTTGTTGGATCAGTGGGACCTCAAGAACACTTCCCATACTGAAGATACTCTTACTGCCTATCACCCTGCAGTGAAAGCCTCACTACAGTACCAACCCTCAACGTTTTAACATCTTTAAAAACATAGCCCAGATTAGGCTTCTTCCTAGCACAGTGATCCCATCCTGCTGCAATTCAGATGATTAAACTAATCCAGCTGTGGAATAAGACTGCCCTGTATTTATTATTTAACAACCACTTCTAGCCAAATAGAACCACAGTTAATTGCATGAGCTTGTAAGTAAAAGGAAACCATACATATGTTCTGTTTCAAAATAGCATAACTAAGTGTGTTACTGATATTTAGATCCATGTACAACATTTCAGTTGTAGTGCATAATTTACAATCACCACTGAAATTGTTGATGATGCTTTCTCTCAAAATGAGATAGCAGCACCCTGAAGTTATTTCCGTGCAAATGAGTCTTGATATGAACATGAAAACTCAACAGCATTATTGTCCAGAAGGGAACTGACCAGGGACATATATTTCTGCTGCTGGGAGCCACGCTGCCATCGCTCAGCGCAGCACAGCTCCAGGCAGGGTGGTGTTTTTCATGAGCACGTACTGGCTCTTTGAATTTCTATTTCATGATCTTGGGTCTGTGCACTTTTTAGAACCTGCTTCCCAGAAGGTGTGTGCTGACTCCTTGCAACTGGGCTGCTGTAAAGTGCTTCAAGTTGAAGCCAAAGAAACTGAAACCTCATTGCCTGTTTGCTCATTTTCAGTCGGGCCCCATTAGAGGTACGTGGACACTTTTGTTTTCTGTTCTTCTTTGAGCCAAAGCCAGATCACAAAATCTGGAAGTCCTTTGCAAGATGGGACTTCTTCCATGCTTCACACAGCTCCCTGCGTGCTTCGCCATGAGTGCCCAAGATGCAGCTGTGAAAGAAAACAAAAGTGCAAATGCCAGTGACGGAACTGTGTGCTCCCAGTTGTCGCAGTGCTTTAGCCATGGGAGAGCTGTGCCTATGAACAGGGTTGACGTGTGTCACCGTGAGCCTGACATCCTTCCCTCCGCCTCGGACCTGGCACGTGCCGCAGCACCTGGGCTCTGAGGTGAATCACCCGCACCCCTGCGGGAGGAAACCTCCACACAGAGAGCAGTAATATCCGGGCTGGCCATCCATTCCCATTCCATGTGGCCTCAGCTGATATATTTCATATGGTTTTGTAGCTGAAGCCGGGCCAGAACTTCTCCAGCTTTGACAGAAGGGCTAAATGAGAGCAGGGAGTTTTATGTGCCTCTTCCCACAGTCTTGCAGTGAGCATGCAGGAAGCCATGGATCAGTGGGTCCTGGCATTGTGCACCAGCAGGTACGTGTGTGGCCTGGTGGGCTCTGCAGCACTGAACCACTGCAGCCCCACATGTGGGACACAGCTCTATGGCAGTGTGGTCACCCCAAATCCTTCTCTGCATGCTGCTTACTAATGCCACTGTTTGGATGTTGTAACTGTAGAACGTCTTCCTGGAAAATTGCTAAGCATGCAGTCACAAATAGAAGGCAAACTCCCAGACTCAGTGGCTCATACTTAGGAGATGAGGAGAAGACCTGACCCTAGGACATCACTCGGCTTTGCCATCTCACAGCCCAGGAGACACAGAGGGCATTGCATCCCCTCTGCAGGCTGCTATACATTGGAGCCCGCTGCACAGGGGCTGTTGTGCATGTAGCCTGCAGGAGAACCTCGTGGCAGAAGGTCCTGCATGTGAGCAGTAGGAGGACAGTGATTGTGCCTCGATTTCCCCACTTGGCCCCATTTCACTGCTCAGAGTAGGATGCAGCTGTGGCGGGGTGGATGGAGACGGGGTTGCTGTCAGTTCAGCAGTCCTACTGCTGCATGACTTGGAGTATGAACTAACAAAGCAAATCTGTTTTCCTTCTCTCTTTCTTTCTTATCTGTGATTTTCCACCAGAGGAAGCAGAGGGGGGAGGCAGCGAGAGGCTGTTATCGTGCAGCAATGATACAGGCTGTGGAGGAAAGGATGCTACTCTTCAGTGATCCCAAATGTGCTCCCAAATCTCAGAAGAGCCAAATATTTCATCCGAAAGAGTCAGCTATGAACTAATCTATTCCCCAGACACTGAAATAGTTGTCATTATTGTACAGCATCAACAGCCCATTGAGCTGAATGGGGGCAGCCCAAGCAGGTCTAGTGTTTCAGTCTGTCCACCTGCAGCCTAGTAAATAATGAAGAGGATAGTTTACTATTACAAGGGGATCGGAATTGCCTGGCTGAATGGTCACAATCCAAGGAAATGTGTTTTAATTTAGCTAAATGAAAAGTAATACATCTGGGAACAAAGAGTTCAGGCAGTACCTACAGGACAGTAGAGACTGCCTTGGAAAACAGGATTGTGGGATTGATGCAGTGACCACTTCTGCAATCACTGATGGTTCAGCAGGGCATAAGGGCACATTGCATCTGACGGTGGGAACTCAGCAGCAAGTGATGGAACCTGGAAGGCAGAAGCATCAGCAGGAGCATGCCAGGGCTGCAGTGGTCATGCCTGGTACACATCTTCTAGTGAGAATATAACAGAATCATAGAATCCTTAGAGTTGGAAGGGACCTCTGAAGGACATGTAATCCAACTCCCCCACACTGAACAGGGACATCCATAGCTAGATCATGTTGTCCAGGACCCAATTCAGCTTTGCAGTCTCCGAGGATGGGGCATCAATCACATCACTAGGCAACCTATTCCAGTGTCTCACCGCCCTCACTGTAGAAAGATTTTCCCCTTATATCTAACGTAAATCTACCCTCTTTGAGCTTGTAATATGGTAACGTGGAGGAGGCTGCTGGAGTGGTCCAGTGGCTGGGAAAATAAAAGCCTTTTTGTTGTGTAAGGGTTAAAACATGCAGACAAGTCAGTTGTCCGAGGGCAAGGTTTAGTTTTTCTCTGTGACAAGGAAGCACAGGACTGTGGTGTGGGGACACAGAAATTGAACTGATTCAGCTATTACATAAGTCCCTACTTCTTAACAGTTGGCAATGATGGCCCGGCAAAAGAGGGCAGAGCACCTCAGGGGCTGCCTTCACAGACACTCCTGATCTCACTTCCAGAGATGAAATCTCCAGCAGGCATACTTAAAGTTTTATGGGATCGTCATCTTCTAGAAGTCTCCCAGTTCTCATTTCTGTCCTTTTCTGTCCTTATGATAGAAAAAAAAAAAAAAAAAAAGTAGTTTTCATTGTCTTCTATTTGCTCCGTGCTAAGACAGTGACTGCGCTGAAACTTTAAGGGCTGGGGATGAAGATTTCTCTCATGCAAAAGTGGCAGCATGTTGTAGGGTATTTCTGACTTTTCTCTGTCTTCTTGTGAAGCACTGGAAACTTAGGGGAAAAATGCTTTGGAAGGTAGAATCTGGTATGGTACATCTCTCTCCTTGGGATGTGGCTGCTGTCCTGCCTGTGACTTCAACCAGCTCCATGACTTGTTGGTCTGGTGTGGGCAGAGGGGTCAGCATCTTTAATCACCGTCAAAATCAGGCACGGAGCATGAACTGGCTTCCTGGATTGGTCTCCCCTGATCTTCACCTGTGATGCAGAACAGTGAAGCTTTTTGGAGGTCTGTGCTGCTTCAACCCAGTCGGAGGCTTCAAGCTCAATATTGGTGTTATTGACCATCCCCTGTGAAGGGGACAATGTCCTGTCTCTTGACTGTAGAAGGGTCATCTTCAACCCTGAGAGCTGGGAGGTTTGAACATCACTTTGAGTAAAGAATCTACTCACGCTGAATGACAGGTTGAAAACTGTGTTTTAATCTGTGACCGAAATACATGAGATCCCAAAATGGAGAGGGGCCGAGGCCACACAGGCAATGCTCCTGAGACAGTCCTACATTATTGCCATTGACTTTGATCACTATGTCAAGAGTCTCAGTTACTACTTCTGGAAAGCAAGGCAGCAGCTGGCTTTCCAACCTTACTTAATGACTTTCTTTCCCAACCAAGGACTGCAGAAAGATATTACATGCTATGGTGGAATTTAAGTCTTTGCACATTGCTTGGTCCCACTACAGTCGCAGACCCACCTGAACTACAGAGCTTGCACTACAACTTCTGTTTGAACTTTTCCCAGTACGGACCTCGGGTTTTAGAGGTGCACACTACCAAGAGAAAGGCTAGCTGAGATGAAGGGGTCTGGCTCCATCTCCAGACCTTTCCAAATCGTGAGAGAGCTCCTCTCATACAGCTCTGACTCAGGCCTATCTCTTAAATATAACCATAATGTAATAATAAAAAAAATACAGGAACCAAGAAATAGCTGTAACCTTCCATCCAACAGTGGTTGAGTTATTACCACAGTTACATCACAGCTGAAACAGGTGCAAGGAAATAAGTCTCCCAAAAGTTTCTATTCAGGAGGGACATGACCGAAGAAAGCAGAGGGAAAGGAAGAAGGCAGGGGAAAGGGCAGGAGTTAGGGGACAGAGCAGAAGTTGTTTCTCTTGGGATGTGGCCAACTTAGTAGCGGTCTGAACCCAAGAGATGCCCTGGATGCTCCTTCTGTTGCTATCTTTGCTTTTTCCATTTTCAGGATGTCTGCTAACAGAGTGGTAGCACCACTATTGGCTTGCCCTCCACCTGCCCTATTGCCTGGGACTCCACATCCCTCTGAACTGCGTTGAGACCTGATGCAAACAGATGCATATCCTTCCAAGCATATTTTATGCAATTTTCGAGGAATCCTTCAATGACTCATCAGTTCAAGCAGACTGTTCTCTCTGCCCCAAAACTATGGGGAAGGGAAGTGATTATGAGAAAGCTCATGTTCCTCCAGCAGCTGCAGTCTCTTTGGGTGGGATTCATCTGACTAAAGCTAGATCCAAGCTATTCAAGCCAGACTCCCTTCTTTGTGAAGAACAGGTGGAAAACAGGCATGCAAGTGCTTCATCTCCCTAGGTCAGTGTCTAAGACAGGTCAGGTGAATCTTGCCCATTTCTCTTCTTTGTTTGAAAAAGGAGCTGCAACAATGAGGCCACGAGTGGGTCTGTGAAGCTGGATGGAGACCATCCTTGGACCTGGTGTCCAGGCTGAGTGATCTGGGACCAAAGGGCCCAGTGAGAGCTGTTTGTTGTTTGTGGAGGACCCACAAGCCTCAAGCAAGTCCACGTGCCACAGACATTTGGGCATCTTTCAGAGGGATGCTGGATGCCTGCATCCTGCTCTGCAGCTCCTGGTGGCTCAGCTCTGAGCATCGACTGTCCCCTGCCTCACACCCAGCTCGGTGTTGAAACAGAGGAGCATTTCCCATGCTGCTACACACGCCATCAGTGGTGTATGGGGAAAGGCAGTGTGGCAGCTGCCAGAAGCACAAATGATGTTACTGTATGTTGTTATCAGATGAGAAAAGCAATGAAACAAAAATGCTTTGAGTGTGCAATGACCCAGCTCCTCTGTCGAGGGATTGCTGCTAAGGACTCTCAAGACCTTATGTGCACCCATGACTGTAACCCATGAGTAAAAGCATGAAGCATGCACTTAAGGTAAATAAATGGTTAGAGGGAGTTACTCCAAGCCAGACTCCTACCCCCGCTTTTTTCTTTTCCTTTCTCACTCCTGAAAGACAAACAAAAACCCGAATGATGTCATGGGGCCATGCATTTGGCAAGCGCCTTGTTGCTCTGTCCCAGGACACAAGTAGCCCATTCACCAACACTGTCCTTGCATTTGCTGGATGTTCTATGAGTGAGGTATGGACCAGAACTCCACAGCTCAGAGCAGGCTCAGAGGAGTG